GGGTCCTTGCAGTTTGCAAGGCAAGGTGTTTCGGAAGTGGTTTGCCAGTGCCTCCTTCCTAAAGCAGAGCCCAGCTGGCGAGCACAGGAGGCGGGGTTTCTGTTGCTTTGGGTCTTTTTCGGGTGAGCGCAGCTTCTGCGCTACCAGCAACTGCTCCTGACTCCTTTTGCAAGGCGCCGCCAGCATTTTTCCTCTCACCAGAGTGAGAGTACCCATTTATCTACTCACGTAAGTTTTCGAGCTGCTGGGTTGGCAGGAGCTGGGGAGGAAGCAGGAGCTCACTCTGCTGTGCGAAAGCTGGGCTTGAACCGCTGAAGTGTCGACCATTTCTGGCAGGCAACTTTCTGCATCATTAAGCCACTGCGCCACCGCATCCCCAGTAATTACTAGGTTAGGGTGAACTATTGGATTCCTGAACCATTAGAAGGACACCATGGCCCCTCTATACTGCCCTCCCCATCCCAGTTGGGTTTGCAAGCTATTCCCAATAGAGATCAAATCCACCCTGCTTTCTCTCCATATTGATTGCACCATGTGCCATTTACAAGATGCTTTCAGGAACTATAAAATAAGAAGAAAGGATGTGATGGCATATAGCAATAATGGCATCAGCACGCCTAAGCCAACCCAGCAGCTGATGATTGGTCTCTTTGCTGTTGCTGTCTCCATTGTCACTCTCTGGGTGGTCGTGGGAGGTGGGGGTAGGATAGACTTGGTCCTGGGGCAGAATCCTAACTGGATCACTAATATCAGGGCTGATTAATTTTTGTTGTGCAAATCATTGGTTGGATTTCCTTTCCTGATTATTATTCTGGGAAATCTATGTTTTTTCATTTTTCCCTCATGTTATTCTATATAAAAGAAATTTAAAGCTGCAGCTAGTAATGACATTGTAGTTGTCATGGTCTAGAAGTCACATTTAGGACTCATCTTCCACATTTTTACTATAATGGTCAAAACAGTAAGGATGAAAGTTTATATGAATCTTGAGATAATATAAACATTAGGCAGATTACTCATTGGCACATAGCAATTATGTATCATATGTGAGTTTCAAAGTTCCTGAAATAAACATTGTATTATTTTTGCATTGACTGAGAAGAGGAAGCAAATAATTCCTTTGGGCATCTCCAAATATTTTAGGGGGCAAATTTTCATGTTCAGTCAGCAGAACAAACTGAGCTATTATTTACCTTGATGGTCTCTGTTAATATGTTTATGAAGTAAGCTAGAGTGTGAACGGGCAGATGGAAGATAAAGCAAGTAAACAAGGAAGAGGTTATGGGGAAGTGTTATTGGTACCTCACTTGTGCAGGCGTTAGGACATTAGGTCAGGTAATTAGTGGATCTCAAAAAGCATAATTCAGCCTGCAACAAAACTATTAGTTCTTTGTGTTGGAGGGCTTACAGGTCTTGAGAAAGCCTAAAGAGATCCCAAGGCCAAACAGAACTTGAGTGCCATAATGCTTTATGGTTCCAGGAGAAAAAAATGCAGAAATATAACAATTCCATTGTTTGAACAGCCTAATGAAATCATTTCTTATGTAAACAATGGGACAAATATTGTAGATTACTGTATATGGCTTGATTAAAACTAAATCATTAGTGAAGGATTTGTTTAACAGGCAGTTTCTCTTCTATCCATGAACTACTTTAGTTCTAAGTAACTAAAATACTATCTGTGGGCTGGTTTAGATTATCTGGAATCCCATCAAAACCCATAAGGCCTCCTTCTGGGCAACAGTTTTCCATGGTAGTTAGTAATACATGGCAGATTCTGTTAATGCCCATGAACTGCAAAATATTTTCTTTGGGTTCCCATTCGAGCTGCTGGAATTTCACTGGGATGTGCTTATAATGATAACAATACATTATTTGTTTGTTTACCTGCAGAGAATCCAGCAAGCTAGCAGACCAACAATGGATTGGGGTCCTTCTCTGGAGGAGAATAGAACTGGCATGTATGTGGCCACCCTGGCAGGTAGCCCGTCTCCTAAACCTTTGATGGTCCATATGAGAAAATATGGAGGAATAACTAGCTATGAGAACATAGCCTTTCAAATTGATAAAGAGATTGAAGAGGATGAAGAAGAATCTATGATATGAAGACACAGTCTATTCACATCAAGTGATGGAAGGTAAAGAGTCTGTGGGGAATATTCTGCACAACATTGCACTTTGGCACATCAGTCCACTCAGCAGTCTGTTTCCAGATGCAGCCAAAGATTGCCTGTTCAGAATCTTATAGCAGTGCACTCCGCTGAAAATCCCAATGTTGTTGAGGTTTCTGTTCAATGTGACAAGATGTGAAATGAGCTTGTCTTAGTGCTTTAGTGCCTGATACAGGCCACCCATCCATGTTGTCCCTTGCTGCTGTCACCAGTGATGGGTTTCTCAATTCAGGATGAGTATATTGTATGCTAGCTCCTTCTTGTATTGATCCAGCCTATTTTCCTCTAGCCATGTGCTTGTACTTCTTTATCTACAAACGTCATTGTTCTATAGAAACATAGGTTTCTTTATCCAATGGATCAATTCTCACAAATCTTCCATTGTTCTACCTTCTGTGGCTTAGTAAATGGTAATTTTGCATAGTGCCTAAGGAGTTTGAAAGTAGCCTATGAAGTGTATTGCTTCTAGAAAGCCAGAGACCTTGAAAATTTGTATGAATTACTGTACAAGAAAATCTCCAATATCACAATTAATACTAAAATTCCAGACCAAATACTCTGATTTCTAACTCTAAGATAAATTAAAAGATATAGAGGTGTTGTGTGGTGACAGGGCCATCATAAAATTCATTGGATAATATATTCGGTACTGGTGTGGACTTGTAGAAGTTAGAAATAACTAACTTAATCTAGGGCTCTCTCTTCTTTTGAGGATTGACACAGTCCAGGAAAAGAAAATGGAACGGGGAACCAGATTAATACTAAGGAAAGAAATATCTGCACTAGGAAGGTTAGGCTGACTGGAAAATATCTTTCACATGAAGATACATTACAAAATAATAACAACAACAACAACCACAACCAGCAGCACCAACATTTTTACCAATTGTCTGTGAGGTGCCCAGACATGCTGACATCTATATATAAAGGGGTTAATTTATATCTTTAGAGTCTCATAAATCATCTCTGAAAGCTGTAGGAATAGGAGCTCAACCTCAAGTATACTATGCACATTCATGCGACGTGTTAACACCAAGAGTTCATACATTCACTATGTATGAAAACTACACTATGTGTGATTATAGAAAGCTACTTTATACTGAGTCTGTCAGGTGGTCTAACTCCATATTATCTGCACTAACTGGCAATAGGTCTTCAGGGTTTCAGAGAACATGGGACTTTTAATATGCAAAAAAGCTTGTGCTCCATCAGTGATTTTTTCCCTGTAAGAAACTGCTTTATAGAATACCATTAAGTCATCATTGTTACCTATACTAAGTTGAATGACCCTACAATGTTTCTGATGCAAGACTTTCCCAGTTCATACCTGGAGATGACAAATTTCTTGCCTACAAAGCATTACCCATATAACTTCTTTTCTTTCTGAGGAATGACAGTATCATAAACTGGAGATAGTTTTAGTTGGCCATATGTATAAAGCTTTATATCGGGGTATAATATAGAAAAGTTATGGTGGGATGGCTGGCTGATTGGATGGATGGACTGACTAATAAAGGAATGGTTGCATGGTACAATATGCTCTTTAGTTCATTACGGAAACTTGTTGGCTGGACTATTTTTCTTAAGATGCTGACATTGGCTTGTGCTGAAACCAGTTTCTAATGGGATGTAAAACTTACACCATTACCTGGAATACATTCATTGCATTGCACATATAGCAGAAGAGAAGATCAAATGTTCTCTTTAGCATTGTTCATGAAGACAGCTAGAATAAAAGACAGCTAGTATGAGATGCTGGTATTGCTAGCACTACCAGTTCTTATGAAATCATTCCTCAAGAAGCATTTTACAGTAAAACCAGGAAATATCTCCTATGAAATCTTAGTTTTAAATATGAGGAACTGCTGTTATTTCATAAAGCAATGAAATCATGCTATCATTTTTACAACTCTGAAAAAATGCCTATCTGAATAATTTTATCAGCAAAAGTGAAACATAGACTGGAGTTTGTCCAGTTGTGATAGTCAAAGGGTTTTCGATACAGGTAGTCATGAAGGAGGAATATTTTTTCCCTAACAGTCCTTTTTCTTATTCTTTCTTAAACCTGGATGAGACGAGCAACAGGTTATCAACAAGTATTAAACCATTACTATGGCAACCATAAATATAGTATTTGTTTTTTGTACGATCATATATTCAAGAAAAGGAGGCTGTTGCTGGACTTAAAAGCCAAAGTCAAAAACAAGTGAGCAAATTTAAGATGTTGCTAAAAACAATTGGTGAAAAATTGAAACAAGATATCTTGGTTCCAGCTGTCTACAGACTGGCCCCAGATCTTTTCTAGCACAAACGCAAATCTTCCTTGGAGGCTTTGTTCCTGACACTGCCAACAACCTTGCATTTAGATTTCTTTGTAAGAAAACTAACAAAGAATGTAGATTTCTGAAAATCTTGACATACTTTTTAACCAGCTCCATTTTAGGTTTTGAAAATAGATAAATGAATGGCGAGATAGTTTGGTTTATTCTCATCTGATATTTCTAAAATTCACTCTGGTCTTCCTCGCTGTATGGGTGTTCATAGCTGATTGTGCATCAAATCTCATTATCATTGAACTAAAGGAGGTTCAAGCACCTCCTTTTAAAAAGCTATTCTATGAAGGCTGCTTGGCATTTGTAAAACTGTATAATATTTTATATTAAAATAAAGTAGAATCAATTCTCTATCATGGGTGTAGGGAATTCAGAGCAATATGCCTATTACCAGTCTCTCTGTATCTTCTGAATTCCATAACACACTTATAGAAATTGTGTATGTTCTACTTAAAGCATTTTGAATCTCTTTTTTCATTGCTGGGGAATATAAGAGATACTGAAATTCAGTATTAAATATGTTTATATGAGATTTTCAAATTAATTGCTATTGTGGTGGTAGAAAGACAGATTTATAACCATATTTCAATCTTCCTGATCTTGGGTCATCTATGAAAACTTGCATTCTGTGTAAAGCCCTCTGCTGTTAGTTCTTCTATGGTTACCCCACTGTTGAGATGCCAATAAATCAGCCCTGGTGCTGATGCTGTAGCAGGACAGAAGTCTGGATTTACTTTGAATTAGTGCAGTCCTAGACTCATATACAGGTGACCTCTGCCTGAGCATTGCTCCCTTCAGGTACAAAACACCTCCCCTATCCTTTAACTCAGTGTTTCTCAAACTTGGCAACTTTAAGACATATGGACTTCAACTCCCAGAATTCCACTGGCTGGGGAATTCTGGGAGTTGAAGTCCACATGTCTCAAAGTTGCCAAGTTTGAGAAATACTGCCCTGATTTGGCCAGCTGTATCCTTCACTTACCAACTGTCACTCTCCAAGTGTTAAATTGACCCTTTTCTTGTCTTAACATTCTGGCCAGAAAACTGAATAATTATGTTTTTAATGGGCTTTATAATTATCGGTTCACATCTGTTGTCCAGCTGAACCCACCCAAATTGTACTTTCTTCTCTTCCTAATCCTTTTCAAATCACCTGCTTGAAACTTTCCTCCCGTAGTAATGCAAACCAAGGCACTTTTAACTGTCTTAGACCTAATACCGAGTATAAATGTGTGACCTCTGACTTACTCATTTGCATTAGAGGCTCTCTTAGTGGTCACTCTGAATATCCAAAGAAATAAAAATTCAGTGTTTCTTCACACTTGCAAATAAAAGTAATTCACATTAGCTGAGTAGGGAAAGATTTCCATTAAAACCCTTGAATACACATATGAATTTTTTTCCTCAAACATTGGTAAGGAGAGAGATTGTTTTTTTTTTAAAGCAAGAGTCAACAACAAATTGTCCACTGAAGACAATTTAAAGGAAGAATCCGATTTGCATTTTAACACTTGCTGATGTGGTGAAGAAAAACAGTCCTTGTGCATACCTTTTAACCCTCAACTCAACATAACACATGAAACATGAAACATGCAATAAAGTGTTGTAAAGAATTGTGTGTGGCTGTTTTCACTGACAATGCAGACCTTGTCACCAATGTAGCATGATCAACATTCTTCACAGCAGTCTTTCCCGCTATTTTAGTAATATTTGAGTAATAGGGAATGGATGTTAAAACGACAGTGGGATGTTTGGCTTACTGATGGTTATATTTTTGTTCTCTTCTGTTTTTAAACAATCTAATTAACGTGACTAAGTATATAAAAGCAGCATAGGATAATGTACTCCATATTTCATAACCAAATGAGTGTTTGCACTATATTATGGATTAGCACTTTATAATGGCAATTCCGTTTACGAGAACTGGATGTTGATGGTAGCTATTATATCAATATGCCAGTGATTATGGGAGAACCCTTGGGCACAGTTTTGGTCAAGTTCTTTGTATGGAATAAATTTGTATGTAATAAATTATTCCAATTTGCCTCAGGGGCATAGTCTCCTAATAGTCCATAGTAAAATGTACCCAACATCTTTTTCTCCCAATTTTTAGGTTGTCTTGGACAGGCCAAGCACATAAATGGGTAATTCTGTTCTTGATTACTGTGGACATGGTTACACACTATGAAAAAATGAATAGGATACTGGTCATCTTAGCAAGGACAACAGAATGGGCCTTGATTATTTATTGGCCTCACAAGGAGGAGTATTCAAGTTAGTAATTTCCTCCTGTTGTATTTGGGTCAATCAGCATAACCATATGGAACTGACATTGCAGTCATAAGCAGGCACATCTCTAGAAGAAACCAGTAAGGCTTAAGTGCTAGAGGGCAGCCTGGGACACAAGCTCCCCCCCCCACCCCCAATAGTCAATTTAGGCTTTATAATTTCCAACTGAGTGTGTAAAAAGATGCTGTTAAGAAGCATTTTAACTAAATGAGACAAAAAAGAAAAAAAGCTCCAAATAATAACTGCAAATAACTATAGTATATAACATTAATTCAACCTTTAAACTTATAACTCAGTCTAGGCCATATAGCAACATATTGTGTCATCTTCTTATTTTTACAACACAGAGATTGTTCAAAAACAGATAACAAACTCATATCCTGGATCCATTTTTTTAAATCAGGAGAAATACTTTCTTTCCAGTTATGTAGAATTATCTACTTTGCCATAACTCAGGCTCAATAGAGCCAAGCTCTTCATGAGTTGACAAATCCCCCTGTTTTAGGGATATAATTCAACATCATACTGAGATCCTTCCATCATATTTCTTCAAACACATTTCTTCCCAAGAATTACTAGAATATATCTAGTAATTTTAAGCTCAAACAAGGCTATAACA